ACCCTAAAACCCTAAACCGTAAAACCAACCCTAAACCCTAAATATGGGTATACGCGGAAGACCACGGAAATCTTAGGACGACCGATGGGCTTCTGGTCAGCGAACCAAACCCTAAACCCTAAACCCTAAACCCTAAACCCTTACCTGCACTGGTTCGCATTCGCGCGTTCGGTGAATGCGCATGCGCATGTCAAGAGCAGTCAAGATGTTGGGAAAGGCTTCTGCTGGCCTCCCTGAGTGACGCAAACCCCAAACCCTAAACCCCAAACCCTAGATCCTAAACCCTCGAGTCATGCGGTTGAGCATCTGGCATTTGAAGAAGGTTGGAACACGTAAACTGTTGATAACATTTAGGGTTTAGGGTTTAGGGTTTAGTTACCTAAGAGTCTGAGTACGAGTCCAATATTGGCATATACATCAGCAACCCTAGGATGAGGGTTTGTAGATTCTGCATCTCCTAGGGCTTGCATGCGTAGGGTTAACATTTCTTCTAATAAAGGAAGACATTCTTTAAATAGACGAGAACGAAAGAATTGGAGAGCAGCAAGTTCTAATGCATCGGATACAGCTAGAGGATCAGAGGAATATAACTCCCGAGTTAAGGATACGTAACTGCAGCAGCAGCAGCAGCAGCAGCAGCAGCAGCAGCAGCAGCAGCAGCAGCAGCAGCAGCAGCAGCAGCAGTAATATTTAATGAACACAGTTTGAGGATCCACGTTAAGATACCCTATAATTGAGCAAACCCTTTGAAACTACCTCCGAAAAATCAAATTTAGGGTTTAGGGTTTAGGGTTTAGGGTTTAGGGTTTACTGTTGAAAGTAAGTTGCTGATAGATTAGGTAGACGATAAAGGCCGCATAAATCCGCCAATGAACAAACAATCGATGCTAAGACGTTGGGCTCACAGGATATAAATGGGCCCTGCAACACAAACCCTAAACCCTAAACCCTAAACCCTAAACCCTAGCTTTGGATGCCTCGTGGACAGTGTGTTAAGACATCTGTCTGCATCTGTGGTTGGTATGCCATCGGCAAATCACTTGATGGTCTGTTTAAGTTTGCTAGGGTTTAGGGTTGAGGGTTTGGGGTTTGCATACTGGTGTTCCTTGTGCTGCTCCTGCTGCTCTTTTGCTGAGGGAATTCTCTACTAATAAACGCAATTCATCTAAGTAAACCCTTCCTTCAACAACCGACCCAACAATGCCGCAACATTTAGCTAGCAGCAGCAATTCAGGTACCTGCACAAGACATAAACCCTAAACCCTAAACCCTAAACCCTAGTCCTCCGATTATTGGCCCTGAAAGGGGGAGGAGAGGACCTATATAACCCAGAAAATATCCTTACTAGTGCACAATAGTGCATCTAAACCCTAAACCCTAAACCCTAATCTGTTTAAACTGACCATTTCCCCTTGCAGCGGCTCCTTTCCTCGCAGCAGATAATATTTCTTCGCCAGCAAATAAGAATACAAAGCCTGACACGAACCCGGAAACAGGCAGAGGAGGGTTTAGGGTTTACCTAGAGTTTAGGGTTTACCTCTTGTTTAGTGTTTATCTAGGGTTTATGGTTAACATATGGTTCCGAGTATAGAGTTTACTACACTGGTGATGGTTGGGGGTTTCGATTGCTCGCAGTCTATGACTCCGGTTTCACATCCTAGGGTTTAGAGGGTTTAGGGTTTAGGGTTTAGGGTTTACCTGTAGTGTAGCATCTGCATATCTAGTTTCTTGAAATGCATTAACAGAAGAAACTCGCAATTGCAAACGAATGCTCTGAATTTCATTCACATTTACTGTTGCTGAATAACCTGTTAGACGCTGTAGGAGCTGCAGCAAACAAAACAAAGCCCTAAACCCTAAACCCTAAACCCTAAACCCTAAAAATTCTAAAAATCCAGAAAAAAACCCAAAACTCCTAAAACGATCAACTCCCTAAACCCTGCACAACAAGGATAAACCCTAATCCGCGCGCTCTCGATACCCGGTTACCCAGTGTGCAAAATAAGTAGGTGGTGAAGAAGCCCGTAAACCCTAAACCCTAAACCCTAATTCCTGTACCGTCATGGCATCAAGAAGCTCCTGTACTTCTGTAGGTGCTTTTGCTGTTGAGGGTTTAGGGTCTCGGCCAAAACTCCCTTCTAACATTTGCCGTCTTTCTTCGGGGGTTTGGGTGCCATGGTAAGCTCTAAAGGCCATCTCCCTCCTGCTCATAAACCCTAAACCCTAAACCCTAAACCCTAAATGTGCCGCCTACCGCACGGATCATAATGAGGGCAAAACATACCAAAAACAGACCATTGGATGACCAAGACAAACAGTTCGGAGCTTGCGAAGCCCTAGGGTTTAGGGTTTAGGGTTTACCGAAGATGGGCAGTAAGGAGAGCAGGGTTTCGATCTCCACCTTCTTGAATAGGAAGAGGCGGTGGTTCGGTTGCTCGAATAGAAATAGTTGGCTGCTCCCCATAGGCAGCTTCTGCACACCAAACCCTAAACCCTAAACCCTAAACCCTTGAGCAGCGCCAATGCAAAGCCGTCATGCAATCCTAAAGGGAAGAAGCGGCATTGAGGGATTCGGCTGCAGCAATTCCCCCTTAAATCTTAGATCACCTAGGGTTTAGGGTTTAGGGTTTAGGGTTTAGCTAGGGTTTAGGGTTTAGGGTTTACGTGATTCTGCAGCCAATGCAGCAGCAGTCCGACTCGCCGATCCTTCTGTAAATGCTTCAAACACTTTTTGCGGTTGATCGTCTTTAAACAACAATACGTTACGGCCTGAAACGCAAACCCTAAACCCTAAACCCTAAACCCTAAACCCTAAAATCCCAACCCTAAATATACCTATACCGTATATTATCAGAACTAGCTAGGGAAAGACAGGCCCAATGAAAGAGGGTTTAGGGTTTAGGGTTTTAGGGTTTAGCACAAAATAGTAATAAAACAAGCAAAAAGGAATAAATAAAACAAACAAAAGAAGAAAAGAACAAAACCCTAAATTGCGACAACTAAACACTTTGCCATTGTTGTCATACCATCAGAAGATGCAGCTTCTGCTGCACCTGATCCTGCAGCAGCAGCAGATGCTGCAGCAGCAGGAGATTTTGCTGCAGCAGCAGGAGGCTTTGGTGCAGCAGCAGGAGGTTTCGCTGCACCACCAGGAGGTTTTGGTGCAGCAGCAGCAGGAGGTTTCGGTGCAGCAGCAGCAGGAGGTTTTGCTGTAGGAGGACCTGCAGCAGCAGGAGGTTTTGCTGGAGGAGGACCTGCAGCAGCAGGAGGTTTTGCTGCAGGAGGTTTTGCTGCAGCAGGAGGTGCGGCCGGTGGCTTTGGCGCAGCAGCTGATGGGTCTGCTGCTGCAGCAGGAGGTTTTGCTGCTGCAGCAGGAGGTTTTGCTGCTGCAGCAGGAGGCTTTGGTGCAGCAGCAGGAGGCTTTGGTGCAGCAGCAGGTGGCTTTGATGCAGCAGCAGGAGGCTTCGGTGCAGCAGCAGGAGGCTTCGGTGCAGCAGGAGGAGGTGTTCCTGCTGCAGGAGGCTTTGCTGCTGCAGGAGGAGGCTTTGCTGCATCAGCAGGGGTTTTCGCTGCATCAGGAGGTTTTGCTGCATCAGGAGGTTTTGCTGCTGCAGGAGGTTTTGCTGCTGCAGGAGGTTTTGCTGCTGCAGGAGGTTTTGCTGCTACAGGAGGTTTTGCTGCTGCAGGGGGTTTTGCTGCTGCAGGGGGTTTTGCTGCACCAGGCGGTGGTTTTGCTGCTGCTGCACCAGGCGGTGGTTTTGCTGCTGCTGCACCAGGTGGTGATTTTGCTGCTGCTGCACCAGGTGGTGGTTTTGCTGCTGCAGCAGGAGGAGGTTTTGTTGCTCCAGGAGGAGGTTTTGCTGCAGCAGGAGGAGGTTTTGCTGCAGCAGGAGGAGGTTTTGCTGCAGCAGGAGGGGGAGGAGGAGGAAGAGAGAGAAGAGGAGCAGCAAAGAATTGAGGCAAATTCCATCTGCTGCAGCAGGTGTCGTTGCTGCTACTGCTGCTGCTGCTGCTGTTAAGGGAACCACCCCTACTGATGCTGTTGAGGTTGCCGCTGGTGCTGCTGTTGCTGTTGAAGCTGCCGTTGCTGCTGCCGTTGAGGCTGCCGCTGCTGCTGCTGTTGAGGCTGCCGCTGCTGCTGCTGTTGAGGCTGCCGCTGCTGCTGCTGTTGAGGCTGCCGCTGCTGTTGTTGCTGCTGCGGTTGCTGTTGCTGTTGCTGTTGCTGCTGTTGCTGCTGCGCCGTCGCTCCACTGGAGGATGGAGGGGTATTTCTTCTATCTGGACCATCATACCAATGTCTTGTGCTGGCGGTTGTGTTGCTGTAGTTGCTGCTGTTGCTGCTGCTGTTGCTGCTGTTGCTTCTGACCTGTCGGCTGCTGCTGGAGGGCGCGATGGTGCCCAAGCAAGTGCTGCAGCAGAATCTGCAGCAGCTACCCATCCTCTTAAGTCCATAGTTGGGTCAACAGTTCAAGGCTGGCTCAGCTGTGCTGCTGCTGCTGCTGCACTTGCTGCTGCTGCTGCTGGCGTTGAGCTGTTATATCAAAAGGAAATGCATTATGAGAGAAGCCCGCTACTGGGGCTTCTGCTGCTGCTGCTGCTACTGCTGCTGCTACTTCTGCTGTTGTTAATGGTGCTTCTGCTGCTACTGATGATAATAATAGTATGCAATTCTGCTACTGCTCGTGTGTGCTGCTCCGCTTGCTGCTGCCGTCGCTGCTGCTTCCTGGAGCTGCTGGTGCGGCGGGGGTAAGAGTGTCTGTAGTACTGCTGTTGAGTTATTTAAAGTTATTTTAAATCATTTAAGTTTTATGTAGCTGCGCAGACACCCCAACTTCGAGCCCGAAGCAACAGCAGCAGCAGTAACACCAGGAGGAGCAGCAACAGCAGGAGGCCACCACCGCGAGCAGCAGCAGCGCCACCGCAGGATATAAAGCAAGGGAATGGAGGAAATTATCAATTAAAAAATTAATTTAATTAATTTAATTAAAACTTAATGTTATATTAAAAGATTGCCTCTGTCTGTGCGTTATACACAGCGGCCTACTGCCGCTGCTGCTGCTGCTGCAGTTGAGTTGAGTTGCTGCTACTGCTGCTGCTTATGGGGAGAGGATGACACATTAATTGAGTTGTGTATTGAGTTTATAAATACATTTTAATGGAGGAATTCCTAGTTGTTGCTTCTGCTTCTGCTGCTGTTGCCTCTGCTGCAGCCCTCACGGCCAACTCCTGAGTCCTTAACAGCTGGAGCAGCAGCAGCAGCAACAGCAGCAGCAGCAAAGGGGCTGGGGGGCCCCAGTGTTGCATACTGCTGTCATCTCCTGCCTTCCTTTCTCTTGATGCTGCTGTCCGCATGCAACATTGAATTTAAAAGAGCAGCAAGTGCAGCAGGAAGATCTGCTGCTGCAGAAGAACGACAGCAGCAGCATCATCAATGGTAGAAGTAGCAGCACTTGCAGCAGCATCAGCAGCAGCAGCGATCTGGCGAAGGCGACTGCAGCAGCAAAGTGATTAGCAGCAGTTATAGCAGCAAACTAAATAGGAGCATCAGCGACATCTGCAACAGCAGCAGCCGCAGAAGCAATAACAGCCGCAGCAGCCGCAGCAATGGGGGCCGAGGGGCCCGCACAGGATGGCCAGCAGCAGCAGCAGAAAAAGAGGAAGAAGCAGCAACCGCAGCAGCAGCAGAAGGTTGCTGCAGCATCGAACCAGAAGCCACCAGGATCCGTAGCAGCAACAGCAGCAGAGAGCAGCAACAGCAAGGACAACAACAACAGCAACAACAAGAACAACAAGAACAGCAACAATAAGAACAACGACAACAACAACAACAACAACAACAGCAACAGCAGCAGCAACGCCAGCAGCAGCAGCAGCAACAAACAGACGATTGAGGCTCTGTTTGCTCCTCTTAAGTTAGCCAAGCAGCAGGTGCAGCAGCAGCAAAAGAAGCAGCAGGAGGAGAGAGAGAAGCAGCAACAGCTGAGGAAGCAGAAGCAGAAGGAGAGGAAGCTGCTGAAGGAAGCAGCAGCAGAAGCAACAGCAGCAACAGCAGCAGCAGCAGCAGTACCAAGGAAGAGAACAGCAGATGGTCTCCCTATTTACACCATGGAGGAGCTGCAAATCGGTACATTTGCTGTTGCTGTTGCTGGTGCTGCTGCTGTTGCTGCTGCTGCTGCTGCTGCTGCTGCTGCTGCTGCCGTTGCTGCTGCTGCTGCCGTTGCTGCTGTTGCTGCTGTGGGTGCCGCGGTTGTTGCTACTGTTGTTGCTGCTGGTGTTTTTGCTGCTACTGTTTCTGCTGCTGCAGTATATCTTGCTGCTGCGTCAAGCTGTTTGTTGCTGCAGTTTGCTGCAAGTTCGTCATCTATTGCTGCTGCTGTGTCTGCTTCTGTGCTACTGCTGCTGCTGCTACTTCTGCTGCTGCTGCTGCTGCTGCTGCAGGAAAAGGTGGTGGTACACCTGACTGCCCTTTTGATTGCTCTTGTTGCTTCTAAAGGGGGCCCCTTATTCGCCATCTTGGGGCCCACTAGCCAGAACTCTTGGGGGGCCCCTAGCAAGAATCATTGGGGGCCCCCCCTTGGCTCTCCCCTAGCCAGTAGTACCCTTGGGGGGCCCCCTAGCAAGAATTGCTGGGGGCCCATTAGTTAGTTGGGGGCCCCGAGGGGCCCCCATAGTAAGAGGCATTTTTTATATAAACCCTAATTAATAAGAAGGGCCTCTTACTCTGTTACTAGGTGTGCAGCTGTAGCAGCAGCAGCAGCAGCAGCAGAAATTGAAGCAGCAGCAGCAGCAGCAGTAGCAGTAGGAGCAATACCAGAAGGTGTACCAGCAGAAGCAGTAGCAGTAGGAGCAGCAGCAGCAGCAAGAGCAACAGCAGCAGCAGCAGCAACTGTAGAAGGTAGTAGTGATTGATTATTGACAACAAGAAGGCTTAAGTACCTGGGGTTTAGGGTTTAGGGTTTAGGGTTTAGGGTTTTTAGTCAAGAATAAAACTGCCGGTACAGTGCAGCAAACTGCAGCTGCCGCTGCATTCAACAGCCAGCAGCATCTCTTCTGCTGTTCCTGCTGCTGTTGCTGCTGCTGCTGCTGCTTTTGTCTTGCTGCAGGGTAGCAGACGCAGCGGCCGTCCCAGCGTTGGCTTTGGAGGTTCGCCTCCTGCTGCTGCTTCTGTTGCTGCTTCTGCTGCTGTTGCTGCTGCTCTTGCTGCTGCTGCTGCTGCTCGAGGCAGCTCCAAGGGGAGGGAGAGGGCTGCTTCTGCAGCGCAGCAATCTGCATCAAATAGGAAGATAGGAAACCTTTTGCTGCCTGTGCTGCCTTTGCTGCTGCTGCTGCTGCTGCTGCTGCTGCTGCGGCCATTAAGCATTCGACGGTACTTCTTGGGGGGCAACACGGCCTCGTCCTCGCTGTTGTTCCGGCTGCTGCTGTTGCTGCTGCTGTTGCTGCTGCCGTCGCTGTCACTGCTGCTGCTGTCGCTGCTGCTGCTGCTGTCGTTGCTGCTGCTTGTGTGCAGCTGCGGGGGTTTCTTTTCCTGCTGCTGCATCACAACCCAAGGAAGTCTCTTGACAGCAGCACAGCAGCTGCAGCAGCAACGATTGTTTGCTGCAGCTGCAGCTGCTGCTGCAGTTGCACCTGGCTGCCTCTCCTGCACTGCAGCGGCAGCAGCAGCAACAGCTGCTTCTGTCTCCATCTGTTGCAGCAGGCTGGATGACAAGGGAAAAGCAGCAACAGCAGCAGCAGCAGCAGCAAACGTAGACTTTACCCTACACCCCATCTTCTTGAGGTGTATGTACACCCCAAGGCTTCTTCCTGTAGCCACAGAGCTGCAGGGCTGCCCGCAGGGATGCTGGCATTCTTGCTTCTGCTGCTGCTGCTGCTGCTGCTGCTGCGGCTGCTCCAGCTGTTGCTGCAGCAGCAGCAGCGGATTGATGGGTTCCCCTGTCTCTGCATGCAACAGAAGCAACGAACAACACTCAAGTACCGCAGCGAAGTCCCAAGGATACAGCAGAATCACATTAATGCCAGCAGCAGCAGCTGCTGCTGCTGCTTCTTCTGCAGCAGGACCTGCTGCTGCTTCTCCTGCTGCCGTTGCAGCCGCCTTTTGTTCTGCCTCCTGGCTCTCATGGCTCCCCTTGCTGCTGCTGCTGCTGCTTCTGTTCTTCCTGCCACCCTTGCTGTTGCTCTCGCTCTTGCAGCTGTCACCCCTGCTGCTGCTGTTATTGCTGCTGCTGCTGCTGCTGCTGCTGCTGCTGGATGGTGGCTTAAGGCAGAACTGCGAGCCTAGTCGTGTCCAGCAGCGTCCAGTATAAAAGAAGAGAGCAGCAACTTGCATGCAAGGGATCCATAAACCAGCAGCAAAAGACCCACCAAGTCCTCTCCCTGTTGCTGTTTCTGCTGCTGTTTCTGTTGCTGTTTCTGCTGCTGTTTCTGCTGCTGTTTCGCCTGGGTTGGGTTCATCGCCTGTTGCTGTTGCTGCTGCTGCTTCTGCTGCTGCTGCTTTTACTGCTGCAGACAGGCGCATGCCAAACCTACGAAGATTAGGGAGAGCTGCTGCTAGAGGCACAGACTCGCCCGACAGCACTCGTGCTGCTTCTTTTCTTGCTGCTGCTGCTGCAGTCTTCCCCTCCGCAGTTGCAGCACCAGCAGCTGCTGCTACTGACTGCTGCTTGTCAGCTGCAGCATCAGCATTTGCTGCTGGTGTTGAATGCTTCAGCCCCATGTGCTGTCGATGCTGGGAGCGCGAAGTTCCTGTTGTTGCTGTTGCTGCTGCTGCTGCGCCTACTGCAGCAGTGGTGACTACCTCATCTGCTTGAGGATATACCGATGCTGCTGCTGCTCCATAGTTCTGTTATATTACTTCAGCAGGAATTGCCAGCTGCCTCTGCAGCATCAGCGGCACTTGCTGCTATTGCTGCTCTTGATGCTGTTGCTGCTGCTAGGTTGAGTTTAGCTGCTATAGTAGTTAAATAAACATAATACAAATAAATAAAATTAAATGTATATTTTAAATAGATTATTTCAATTTATTAAAGGACTTTTAGGTTACTATGGACCTCATGTGGGCCTCACGGAGAGAGGGCACATACGCGAGGGGGGGGCCCCCAGCAAGGTTTACGGTGTAGGGTTTAGGGTTTAGGGTTTAGGAACCCCGGGGGGAAACAACTTTATTTGTTTATAATTTTTAGGTGTACTGAGATGAAGATCTCTTGGAGCAGCAGTAGAAGCCATTAGAGGGAACACATGAGCAGAAGCAGCGGCGCAGCAGCAGCAGCCGCAGCAGCAGCTCCGGTACCAACAGCAACAGCAGCAGCAGCCATTTCAGCAGCAAAAGGCTTGTGTGTTTAAGAGTTATTATCCAGGAGTGTAGTTCCCTGGGGGCCCCTCAAAGGGGGCCCCTTGCAAAACTAGCCATACCCGATGCAACAGACATGGCCCTTCCGTTGAGGGCTGCTGCAGTGCAGCAGCAGCCGCTGCTGGTGCTGTGGCGGCAGCTGCTGCTGCTGCAGCGACAGTTTCTGCTGCTCCCGTTGCTGTTGCTTCTGTGTGCATCCTTTTCTACGCCAGTCTCTGCCTTGACAGCATGGGGAGTATCGAGAAGGCAGTACCCCCTTGCCTCTGCATGTCCCAGTCTGCAGCAGCAGCAACTGAGCAGCATCGGCAGCAGCAGCAGGCGGTCAGCCGAAGCACCAGCAGCAGCAATGACAGCGCCATCCGCAGCAGCTGCAGCAGGTACCTTGGCAGCAGCAACAGCATTACGGCCGACCTTGGCATCACCATCCGTAGCAGAAGAAGCACCAACAGCAGCAACAGCAGCAACGTTGTCAGCAGCAACATCAGCACGCACAGCAGCACCACCACTACCACCCTTAACAGCAGCACCAAATACGTCGTTAATATCACCTGCCCCTGCAGTCGGAGCAGCAGCAGCAGCAGCAGCAGCTGAACCAGTAGCAGCAGGAGCAACAACAGGCGGTGTGCGTCTTGGTATATTGCTACTTGCTGGTGGCTTGGGACGTCGCTGTGGGGGCCCACAACCAAAACAGTTTAGGCCTTTGCTGCAAGGGGCAGATGCTGCTTCTATATCAGCAGCAAAACTGTTGTCGTTCCTCAGCAGCAGCAGCAGCAGCAACAGCAGCAACAGCAGCAACAGCAGCAGCAACAACCACAGCAGCAACAAAATTGGAACCCCAAGAGACCCACACGTCGTTGTTCTTCTCGTGCCGCAAAAGTATAGGCAAAGATTCCAGCCACTGTTTAAACGATTCCAGCAACAGCAACAGCAGCAGCAGCAGCAGCAGCAGCAGCAGCAGCAGCAGCAGCAGACGTGTGAATTCATATTCGCTCAGCCAGGAGAGGAGCGCTTTGAGTCAGTGTGGCTCGGCCTCGAAGCCTTGTGCATGCACCTACTGCAGCACCAGCAACAACAGCAGCAGCAGAAACAGTGCCAGCAGCAACTGCAGCAACTGCAGCAAATCGGTGACGGAGCAAACACACCTGCTGCCCGCAGACAGCGGGCGCTTTTCCTTTTGCATGCGCTCACACAGCAGCAACAGCAGCAGCAACAGCAAGAGCAGCAGCAACAGCAGGAGCAGCAACAACAGCAACTGCAGCAGCAGCAGCAAAGCAACGTGTATGTGCTGGTGCATGACGCTGCTCGCCCGTGCATGTCCATAACAGGAGCAGCTGCTGCTGTTGCTGCTGCTGCTGCATGCGGTGCTGCTGTTCTTTGTGGTGCAGCAGCAGACACCATTAAGCTAGGGAACCCCCAATCTGGGGTGTATGTACACCTGCAAAGAAATGAGACTCTTGTGGCACAAACTCCACAGGTCAGTTGCTGCTGCTGCTGTTGCTGCTGCTACTACTGCAGCAGCTGCTGACGTTGCTGTCGCTGATGCAGCGGCGCTTCCTGTTGCTCCTTCTGCTGCTGCCTCATTAGCGCATTATGCGATGTCTGTTTCTGCAGGTCGTGAGGCTAGACTTGCTGCTGCAAGCGTACGCAGAGTTCTTCGCACTGCAGCAGGAGCAGCAACAGCTGCACCAGCAGCTGCAACAGCTGCAGGAACAACTGCAGCAGCAGCAGCAGCAGCCATTACTCAAGCAGCAGCAACACCACAACCAGTTGCTGCTGCAGCAGCGAATTCAAAGCATAGAATACACACTTCAGGGCATAACAGACGACGTGTCCTTGTTGCAACTGCTGCCAGCAGCAGCAGCACCAACAGCACCAGCACCAGCGCCATCAGCAACTGCAGCAACTGCAACAATCGCAGGACATCGGACAAGCCCTCCAGCGGCAGCAGCAGCAGCAGCGCCTAATCGTGTAAGGACGGCTGTGGTGTTGCAGACGACGGGATATAACTTGAAGATAACAAGGCCTCATGACATTGCTGCTGCTGCTGCTTTGCTGCAGCAAGAAGCAAAAACCCCTCAAGCTGCTGCTTGGCTAGGATTGCTGGGGTTGAATAGCGACGAAAGCAGCACCAGCAGCAGCAACAGCAACAGGAACAACAGCAGCAGCAACAACATTAACAGCGGAAGCGACAGTAGTTGACTGTCTAGGAAACAGCAGCACCAGTGGCAGCTGCAGCCGCCGCAGCGGCTGCAGCTGCAGTCGCCGATGCAGCAGCAGCAGCAGTAGCATCTGCTGCTGCTGCTGCAGAGATTGTGACGATTTGAAGTTTTTTCTTAGATGCAGTATCTGTGTCTGTCTTCTAGACCTCAGGTGTACGTGCAGGTATGTAAGGCGCAGGGTAGCCAGTAACAGCAGCAACCGCAACATATATATAAAGGAAGAAATACTCTATTGCTAGAGCTAATTGCTAGAGCTAATTAAACAGTATGCTTAAGTTTGTCGGTGGACCATTTGCTCATATTGGCGTTACGTAGGCAGCAGTAGTGGCGGCGAGACAATACACGTTTTTAAATAATAATACAATAATAGTTATAATTATTATTGTAATTATAATAATAATTATTATATATACAAAAGTTGTTCGAATTATCCCAACAACTTTGTCCGTAAACGTACTTCGCCGTCTTCATCCCCTGCACAAGGGAGACGTACAAAAACTGGTAGAGAGGCAACGCAACAATGGCAACCTTGCCGAGCTTCATCAATATCTTTTTCTGCATATTATCTTTTGGAGGGGAGAAAGGTTAAACAACAAAAGTAGATAATGAAGAATGCAGCCGCCCCTGCAGGACACACGATTGTGCCGTGCAGAAAGGCAAGCGGCACTAGAGACGTCTCTTGCCGCTCAGAGCTTTTATATATTTTCGCCTCCAGCAGCCTTATCAGGGAAAATCATTGTGACTGATGGATTAGCTATTAGAAAATTAAACAAGCCAATTCTTTTGGGGTGGTGTTTATGAGTTTATGTACCCACCTGCGGAGAGAATTGTAGATCTGTTTAAGCGTAGTATGTGTGTAAGGGTGGCTAGGGGGACTATCTGTATGCGAGGATGTGGATTGAGTGTATAAATAAGTGAAGGGAGGATAGTATAAG